TCATTTGTGATTTCATTTATTTGGGTCCTTTCTCTTTTTCTCTTGATAAGTCTGGCTAGAAGTTTATCAATTTTATTATCTTTTCAAAGAACCAGCTCCTGGTTTCATTGATCCATTCTATTGTTTTCTATTTTTTTTTTAGTTTCTATTTCATTTATTTCTGCTCTAATCTTTATTATTTCCTTCCTTCTGCTGGTTTTGGGTTTTGTTTGTTGTCCTTTCCTAGCTCCTTTAAGTATAAGGTTAGGTTGCTTATATGAGATTTTTCTTGCTTCTTGAGGGAGGCCTGTAGTACTACAAACTTCCCTCTTATAACTGCTTTGGCTGATATCCCAGAGGCTTTGAACCATTGTGTTTTCATTTTCATTTGTTTCCATGTACTTTTTTATTTCTCCTTTTATTTCCGGGGTGACCCATTCATTGTGTAGTAGCCTTTTTTTTTTTTAATTAATTATTTATTTTTTAAAAGATTTTATTTATTTGACAGAGAGAGACACAGCAAGAGAGGGAACACAAGCAGAGGGAGCGGGAGAGGGAGAAGCAGGCTTCCCGCTGAGCAGGGAGCCTGATGCAGGGCTCGATCCCAGGACCCTGGGATCATGACCTGAGCCGAAAGCAGACACTTAACGCCTGAGCCACCCAGGCGCCCCGTGTAGTAGCATTTTATTTAATCTCCATGTATTTGTGGTCTTTTCAGATTTTTTTCCTTGTGGTTGACTTCTAGTTTAATAGCACTGTGGTCAGAAAAGATGCATGTATGTCTTCGAACTTTTAGAATTTGTTGAGGCTTGTTTTGTGGCCTAGTATGTGATCTATTCTGTGACATCCCTTGATTTTTTTTATCATGTGATGTTAATCACCATACATTACATCATGAGTTTGTGATGTAGTGTTCCATGATTCATCGTTTGCGTATAACACCCGGTTCTCCATCCAGAACGTGCCCTCCTTAATACCCATCACCAGGCTAACCCCTCCCCCCACCCCCCTCCCCTCTAGAACCCTCCCTTGATTTTTATTTTTATTCTTAAAAATTTTTTTATTGTTATGTTAATCACCATACATTACACCATCAGTTTTTGATGTAGTGTTCCATGATTCATTGTTTGTGCATAACACCCAGTGCTCCACGCAGAATGTGCCCTCTTTAATACCCATCACCAGCCTCCCTTGATTTTTAAACGTTTACAAATCATTCAATGAGGATTACGACGATGGTGATGATTACAAAAACACTGGGAGAATAAGCCAAACGTGTTTGCAGGCTGGATGAGGACGGCAGGCTGCCTGAGTGAAACCTCCACAACACTATGACAGTATCCAGCACCGGAGCAAAATGTGACATCTGTCCATGAAGATCCCCGTACCTGCTTTCTTACTTAACCATCACGTTGACCCTCCAAGACAGGGATTACTGACCCATGTTGCAGTTAGGGGAACCTGCTTGGAGGGTTTGAGGAACCGGTCCCAAACCACTGATTCATGAGCAGTGGTGCCAGAGCTTGAGCCTAAATCTTCAAATTCCAAGCCTGGCTTCCTCTTCCAGCATTCTGTGTTTCTGCCAACACAGACGCCCTATCAGGCACTTTATCTCCCACCGCATGTTATGGAGGAGGGATGTGAGGCTCCGGGAGGTCATGTGGTCAGTGTGGGATGGAAATGGTTGGAACCAAGGGCTGACTTCTCTAGAGCTAGAGTTTTGTCTTGAGAAGGAAAAAGCCCAAACAAAAACAAGTCTGTTGGGAAGGTTCTGCCCTCAGCTAAAAGCAGAGGAGCAACAGAGAAAGCCTTTTCTCTGTTGCCATATGTGTGAGTTAGAGCCGTATGAAGTTACAATCTGTGCTTGGAGGTGGGGGTGGGGGGAGTCTTACCCAGTTCTTCAAATTAATCAGCGTAAAAAGAATCCGTTGTAAAAATAAAAATAAACCCAGCCAGACTCTGCCATTAGTCAGGAGGCACTGGGTATACCTGCCAACATCCAGAACAAGGGTATTTAGGAGCAGGTGGTTCCACACAGGTAAGGGTGCTATTAGCAGAGGGGAGCCCCGTGGGTCAGACACAGTCCCAGGAGTGCTGAGGGCCGGCTCTGGCCTCCACAGGCCCACCCCAATGCATTTCTTTCTGAAAGTCGGTGAGCAAGATCGATGCCCATGACATTGTGAGTGCTCGATGCCAGGCATTCTGCTGGATGTTCTATAGCCACTATCTCATTCAATCCTCATGAGATAGGGACTATGAATTCCATTTTACAGGTGAGGAAACTAGGCATGGAGGTGAAGTGACTGGCCAAAGGTCACACAGCTGATAAGTGGCAGAGCCAGGACTGGAGCACAGAACGGGCGGTTCCCAGGGCCTGTCTGGGCCACTGGGTGCTACTGCCTGTTGCCTCATGGGGATATCAGCTCTGCCTTCCCAGACTAATCAGTTACTGAAGTGAACTCCTGATGTCATCTGAAACAGTGGCAAACAACTGGTAAAACTCAGGGCTTGTGCTTTGGGAGGATTAAATGAGATAACGCTCGGACGAGACTTCACTTGGTGTCTGGCACAATAAAGGTCCTACGGCACAGCCCCAGTCTTTACAATCTAACCAAATGCCCTGCCCACCTCTGCATCTGCCCTGAGCCCAGCCCCCAGGAGCCCCCCCCAACCCTGTGGCTCTCTGCACAGGCTGTGCCCTCGTCCCAGCCAGCTGCTCCCCAACCTTTGCAGAATCTGCTCCAGGCTACCTCCTCTCTGAAGTCCCCTGGGGAGCCACCCCACTTCCAGCCCCACCCTCAGCCGGTGCAGGGGCGGCTCTTCACAGGCCCCTCTGGGGTCCTGCAGCCTGCTGTCCAGACCTCCATTTCAGCACTTATTTTGGGTGTAATTACATGTTCACAGGTCTGTTTCCCATAACGAGTCTGTCTGAGATCCAACGTGCACTAAACAAAAACAGGCAGGGAAATCTAAGGCCAATCCACCGCTGGGGGGAAGAGTTCCAGAATACTCGGGACGCCGCACTTGCCACTCCAGGCCCCGACAGGCAAGGTCTGCCGAGCCCTTTCACGAAGTCCCGCACCGAAAGCCATACAAACATCTCAATGACCTTCTGCCCCGGTCATTCCACTTCCAGGAAGAATGGTTAAAGGAAACAATTAGGAAATTAAAAAAATAAATCTATGCCCAGAATCAACACCTCAGGAGTCTGACGGTAGGAATATAACAAACAAAATAAACAAACAGTCTACATGTCCCACCACAAAAGGGAGGCTGAGTCACCCAGAGTAACAGTAATGCCCTGTTTGGTGACGACTGGCACTGGCTAAATGCCAGTCACTTTGCTCACCATGTCACTCTGTCCTCGTGCACAAGTTGGTGAAGTAGGCAGCATAATCACCCGGCTTTGACAGCGGGCGAAGAAGGCTCAGGGGTTGTGACGGGAGTGACGGCCACTAGGAGGGGAATGCTGTGCCAGGCGCACCTCTCAGCAGCAAGACACCGTCTTGGTCACTGCTCACGAGAGCCCGGGACGAAGCTGCTCTTCGTACCCTCCCTTTACCAATGAGGGACTGAGCCCCTGAGACATGGATAACGGATCCACAGCCACGCTTCTGCCCAGTCCACGGTCTTACCTCCTTGGCTCTAGTTGCTGGGCCCTGTGTCACTCAGCAGCCAGTGGCAGAGGAGGGCCTGCGGGACAGGAACATCTGCTCTGAGACCCTGTGCTCTCGCCATGAGATGGTCCTCCTGCTGCAGACTGCAAACCACCTCTGTTATGAATTATGTCCCCCCAAAGATGCTGAAGTCCTAAAGACCAGTCTCTGTGGACCTGTAACCTCTCTTGGAGATCTTTGCACGGGTGTCACAGGACTAGGGGACTGTGCCCTTGTAGAAGAGGGAAATTTGGACACAGACACAGACCTGCACAGAGCACAGGCCACATGAAGGCACGGGGAGCCCACGATCTACAAGCACAGAATGCCGGAAGCTATCAGAAGCCAGGCGAGAGGCCTGGGTCAGATTCTCCCTGGAAGCCCTCTGAGGGAACCGACTCTGCTGACAGCTTGACTTCAGATGTCTGGCCTCCAGCCTGGGAGAGAACAAATTTCTGGTGTTTCGGCCACTGAGTCTGTCACACTGAGTTTGTCACTCTGGCTCACGAATCACTTCTCACAGTATGAGACGGCTGGCAAAATGGTGATAACCGGGGCGGGGTGGGGGTGGGGGACACCTGGGGGGCATGTGACGGGGACCACTGATTGCCACCCCAGGAAACCACACCTGGGGGCAGGGAGGGCTGCGAGGAGACACACCAGCACAATGACGTTGCTTTCCAATTTCTCTCCTTCTTCTCCTGCATGCTCCCAATTTGATCCAGCAAGCTTGCGTTACTCTTCTAAATTTCATACAACTGGCTTAAATCTATGTACTTGAACCATGAGAATCTGGAGGCATATGAGAATCCTTGTGAGGGGCTGCACTGTGTTCCCCAAATCCAGGTGTTGAAGCCCTGACCCCCAGGACCTCAGAACATGACTTATCTGGAGACAGGGCCTTTCAAGTGGTAACTGGGTTAAAAATGGGTTGTTGGGAGGGGGCTCACTCCAATAAGACTGGTGTCCTTACAAGAAGAGGAGATTATGACGGGGACACACACACACACACACACACACCACAGAGGCGCAGAGAGAAAAAGAGAGGGCACGAGAAACCAGCTCCATGGAGGCCCAGAGAGAGGACTGTGTGAGCACACAGCTAGAAGGTGGCCAGCTGTGAGCCAAGGAGAGAGCCTCAGAAAGAGGCCTCACACCTACCAACATCTTGCCCTCGGCCTTCTAGCCTCCAGAACTGTAAGAAAATAAATTCCCGTTGTTTAAGCCGGCCAGTCTGGGCCATTTTGTTCTGGAGGCCCCAGCAAAATAATACAAGAAACTGAAGGAAGATGAGCCTTCCCACCGCCCCCAGCACCGCAGGCTGCAGCTGAGGCCCAGCGGGCAGGGCGCGGCCGCATCACTCACCCAGGCAGTTGTGTCCGTCGTGGGCCAGCATGAAGCCGTCAAAGCAGGTGCACCTGTAGTTCCCTGGGATGTTGATGCACTCGTGCACGCAGCCCCCGTTGTAGTAGTCATTCTCACACTCGTCGATGTCTGCAAAATGAGGGCCGGGAGAGGGATCAGAGGAAGGGCCTGGGGGTCCTCTCTCCCTGCTACCACTGAAGCCACCCTAGGGCATGACTGTTTCGGGGATAACTCAATAGGTGTTCAGGGAAGTCCTTGCTGGGGGCTGGGGCCCCAAAGATGTCAAAGATGAAGAGCCTGGCGCTGCAATAAGGCCGGCCACCTTCTTATGGGGCAGCGCAGGACGCTCTCACCACAGCGAAGCAGGCAGGATTCACACCCAGTTCTGCCTCCCTCAAAAGCCTCTCGACAATAGCAGCATGTGGGGGCCCTGTCTAACCCCCCCCACCGAAACCGGCTCTCTTCAGCTTCTGTGAAAGCCTCCCAGGGGTGGAGAGCTCATGACTTTGTGAAGTGGGGAGTACTGTGCAAAATGAACCTTGCATACCACCGAAAAACAAAACCTCTGGAAGGAGAGATAAGTCTAAGTCCATATACTCCGCCTAGTTTCCTTCCGCAGCAGCGCCTGAAGCCTGAATTTCTAGGGCTCCAGATGACTTGTTATAACAAAGGCTTCTGTCTCATAAACAATGGCCAGTAGCCTTTGTAAAGGTCACCTTTTCTGCTGTTTTAAATCTTTTTTCAACATTTCCCATCAGGGGTCAAAGGGCTATCAGTTCTTGAGCTCCAAAGATTTGAGAGACCTCAGAGAGTAATAGGAACGCGCCTAGTTAACATCCAAGGAGCGGCTTCTATACCCAAGTCCGGAGGCAACTCCGTATGTCATTCTGTCCTCACACCCCACAGGAACTCAGGGAGGTGGGCACTGTCATCCTTACTCCAACCTTACAAGGGCACTGAAGAAAGCGGGGCACAGGGAGGCCAGACCCCTGCCCAAGGTCACACACCTCGGAAGTGGTATGAGGAGGATTTGAACCAGGCAGCCTAGCTTGGGAGCTCCAGGGGGCCCAGGCCGCCACATCACTGGGAGCAGTGAGCAGGGGGTGCCGGGGCCCAGGGAGAACCCCCAGCATTGCCTCGGGACTCGGTAACCCCGGCCCAACCACTCCCGGGGCTCGCTGTCTCAGTCCACACCCACCCTGACCTCCACAGACAAGCCAGGGAGGCCAGGAAGAGGGAGGGGAAGTGCCCGCCTGGGGGAACCGGAAGTACCGTACTCAGTGGAACCGGAAGTGTCTAAACTAAGCACAGCCGGAAGTGCCTCACAGGAAAAATCAGTCCCTCCCCTCTGGGGTCAAAGAAGGAGGTTTGAAGCCCGGTTCCAGCTATGAGCGCTGGCCCGAAGAAGAGAGGGGGACTGAAGGCAAGCCTGGCTGCTCCCTTAAAGGCCTGGGGAGCTGGCAGAGAGACACCCAGCTCCATGCTCCTTCCATGCTGGTCCTGAGGGCAGAGCTACACACAGTGGAGGAAACCCATGGGGGCCAATTAGAGTTCGCAGGTAGGAATGTCCACTGAAAAACAGGCTCTCTCGGGAGGTAGTGAGCTCCCCAGCTCCGGAGGTGACCAAGCACTGTCTAGACATCTGCCTGCCAGGGACGCAGCCAGTAGAGGGGATAACTTCAGTGAAAACAGCAGCACAGAAATGCCAGAAAAACAGCCTGGGCTGTGCAGTCCACTTCTTGTGCCCACCCATCCAGCCATGATGAGGGAAAAACAAAGTAGCCTGACTCTCCAAAGGTGCAAGAGAGGGGGTATAGCTCAGTGGTAGAGCATTTGACTGCAAAGGTGCAAGAGACAGAAGCTTCTACCTAACCTGCCTGCAGTGGCCATCAGCATCAGCTGGGAAGCCGGCTCAGTTCTGCAGGTCATTTGAATTGTTTTTAATCATTATATTTAATACACTTAAACATTTTAAATAACACTGAAAGAGGATAAAAGATTTTACGTTTGAAAGGGCACACAGGTTTATGAAGACCGAGATATTGATTACTTCTCATTCTCTGTAGCCCTGACCTTTTGCCAAAGCCCCAGATAAACCAATCTGACTACTTTTCCCCCCGAATCTCCCAGACACTCCAAAGGCAACATGGCCTGACTTTAATTCATCAACCTGCACTTGCCTTGGGTTCTTTGTCCCTGTGAATATTGTTATCCTTCCGTCTCTCCACAGACATCGAATCAGCTACCAAAGCATGGTTTTTCTACACCCTTAACATGGTTACAGTCTGCTCATTGGTCACCTATTCTGCCACCTGCTCAGCATGGGCATCATCTCTCATCCAATCTGAACCAGCAGCCCCAGACCATTCCCTCCCTCCTTTTCTTCATGTAAACACGTGGCTCAGGAGAAGATGGCCTGGTCCCAACTCTGGGGTGGAGCCTGGTCATCTAACACAAACAGTATATCTAGTAGCAGCTCCTGGTCCCAGGGTGGGCACATGACTTAGGTTGGATCTGTGATACTGAGGGGAAGCACTTTTACTCCGAGCTTGGGTAAAAGAATTCTCTCTCTCTCTCTCGAGTTGTACCTCAGAAGGAATTACGCAGATATTTACTAAAACACACACCAGCTGACTTAAGTTTCACAGCAACCCTCTGGAGTGGGTATTTTAACTTCATTTTATGGGTGAACAAACTAAAGTGCAGAGAGGATAGGTAATTGCTCAAGGTCATATAGTAAACGGCAGGGCAAGGATCAGAACAGAGAGGTCTTTAAGTCTCAAACACGTGTGTCCTTTCTAATAAGTTAGAATACCCATGACCTGCCAGGCATTGGCAAATTACTTTACACACATTATTACACCCTTGGCCATCTACACTGTGTGCTGAGGAGGTATTATCTAATCATCCAAACACCCATTTATCAATTTCTCCTTCCATATGTCTGTTCATGCTAAACTCTATTCATCTAAATATCCAGTCAGTTGACCATCCTTCCATTTATCCAATCACCTATTATTCATCTGTCCATTTATCCAGCCAAATATCTACCCATGTATTTAAATATGCATCCACCCATCTAAATATTCAGCCAGGCACTCATCTTTTCATTCATCTAAACATCTAAACATCCATCCATCTGACATCCATTCACTCATCCATCCATCCAAATGTCTAACCACCCATCCGTCTGTTCATTGATTCAAACACCCACCCATCTACACACACACACACACACACACACACACACACACACACACACACACCCCTACCCACTCATCATCCATCTATCCACCCATTCACCCATCTCCCCATTTACATACGTATTCATCCACCCATCAACTTCTTCAAACATGATCCATCTAAACATCTTACAAAATACATACAATAAGATTAAAAAAAGTAAGATGTTAGGAAGAAGAAAAAGAAATGAGGATCGAAGAATAAGAGAAAGCTGGTGAAAGTGTACAAATACACTTGGTAATTCCAGCACAATTCAAAAAGTTGGCCACAAATATGATTCTGAACTTCCCAGAAGCCAAAGCAAAGAAGGAAATACAGAGTCGCCACATCCATAAAATGCAACTAAACTAGTTTCAATGGTGCTAAGGTCTAAGAAAAATGTCTCTTCCCCTGGTTCGGATAATCATATGCTCCAATTTGCTTGGCACAGTTCCACTTTATGCTGTTGTCTGGGTGTAATTATTGACAGCACACTTCTCACTCTCAAAATAATAACCTATTTGGTCACCATACCCAGAAGGCATTATAAAGAAATTGCTGAGTAATCGATAAAACAACTCTAGCCTTTTCCTTCCCGTGACACCCTATAGTGTTGGCCACAGTAGATGCCAGTAGGCAGAAGAGTGCAGGAATATTCACTGCTCATACCTCTTCCCTTAATTTATCTCCAAAGGATTTCCCCCAGATCCAAGCATCTCTTAGAACCATCAGTTCTGGGGCGCCTGGGTGGCTCAGTCGTTAGGTGTCTGCCTTCGGCTCAGGTTCCAGGGTCCTGGGATCGAGCCCCGCATCGGGCTCCCTGCTCCACGGGAGGCCTGCTTTTCCCTCTCCCACTCCCCCTGCTTGTGTTCCCTCTCTCGCTGTGTCTCTCTCTGTCAAATAAATAAATAAAATCTTAAAGAAAAAAAAAAAAGAACCATCAGTTCCTCTCCAATCCCCAGGCCTGATGTGCTACCACAGGCGTCCTAGGCCAGCCTGCAGCATCGGCTCACAACTAACCCCCCTCCCCTGATTTCTGTGTCTGTGTGTCGAATTTTTGTTGTTGTTGTTGTTGTTTTTATCATGGGAGCCTCCTCCTTTAATACATAAGAAATAAACACACAAACAAATCAACCAAAAAAAGTCTCTGCCAAAGCAAGTGGATTTCTTTCTGTTAAAAAACGTGTCCATGAGCCACCAGTCCTGGAGGAGGCCCCATGCGCCTCTGAGATGCCCGGCAGGCTGGGACCACTTTTTAAGGACTGTTAAAGCCAGAGAATGAGGAATAGGCGAATGGGGTAGGGAGAGGGTGAAGGAACGGAGGGGGACAGAGCCGAGCTCTCTGGATATTTATTCTTGAAGGACTATTGTGGGTTGAATTGTGTCATTCCCAAAGATGTACTGGTGCCCTAACCCCTGGTATCTGTGAATGTGACCTGATTTGGAAATAGGATCTTTGCAGATGTAAGCAAGTTAAGATGAGGTCATGCTGGAATAAAATGGGCCCTAATCTAATGACTGGTGTCCTTATAAGAAGATGGAAATTTGGATACACACAGAAGAGAATGTTAGAACTGAGAGGAGAACACCATGGCAAAACACACAGACGCACAGAAGAAGACAGCCGTGTGATGACCACGGCAGAGACTGGAGGGAGGAAGCTGTGTGAGAACCAGAGTTAGTGCTACTCCCATTTTGCTGATGTGAAGGCTGAGGCACAGCATGGCTGAGCACCTAGTCTCCCAGCCCCTAGGCAGTGGTTGTGTTCAAAGGCAGATTTTATACCTATTGGAGCCATGTTCTTAGGGTGCATGAGATGAATACTTTATTTATTTGAGAGAGAGAGAGCACATGAGAGGGGGGAGGGTCAGAGGGAGAAGCAGACTCCCTGCCGAGCAGGGAGCCCA